TTTGGGCGGATAGGGTGGCTATAAGGGGTGATGTGGAGGCCACAAAGGGTTAGAGGGCATTTCTCTCGTGAATCTTAAATAATATTAATATAGCAGTTTGTATGTGGTTAAAAAATTACAAATAATTTTAAAATATCCAAAAATTGTTAATGTAATCTATTATTTTATTCGAAATATAATGTATCTGCGTATATTTCTGTAGAATTTACTCATGTAAATTTTGTACTAGTTTAATAAATACATAAATGTAGTATATGAGCTTTTGTGTTGTAAATATGTAGTATTAATTTGCAATAATAAATGTATAACTAATCAGATTGCGTTTTGTATGTATCGGCATTTTTCTGCCAAATGTTAAATAATGTTAATATAGCAGTTTGTATTATGGTTAAAGAATTACAAACAATTTTAAAATATTCAAAAATTGATAATGTAGTATATTGTTTTTTTCGAAATGTAATGTATCTCCGTACATTGCTGAAGAATTTACACATGCAAATTTTGTACTAGTTTAATAAATAAATAAATGTAGTATACGAGCTTTTGTATCATAAATATGTAGTGTTAATTTGCAATAAGAAATGTATATAATTAATCAGATAGTATTTTATGTATTGGCATTTCTCTGCTGAATCTTAAATAATAATATAGCAGTTTGTAAATGGTTACAAATTGCAAATAATTTTAAACATTCAAAAATTGTTAACTGCACTATTTGTTTTTAGATAAGGAGATATTTCCTAAGAACATTAAAGACATCGTATTTTTTATTGTATATTTTTTTAAATTTCACTTGCATTTTTGCCTTTCCTTTACATGTAATTTGTTTTTTAATTTATGAACTGTTACATTATAATCATACCGTAGGCTAATAGTTCAAACTTTTCTAATTTGATTTTTTGGCGTAATTGTTAAAAACATTACATATTTGTTAATATTCATTTGGGCAGATGTGGTGGCTATAAGGGGAGATGTGGAGGCTACAGAGGTTTAGGGGACTTTCCTCAACCAAATCATGTATTCAAATAATAATATGACAATTTATAGACAACAGAGACTGCTGATTAATTTTCTTGTAGTGTAGATGTGTAACATATTAACTTTTATAAATAATGAGAAACTTATTATATATTTTGTAAATATTATGCATTATAAAGTTATTTGAAATATATATTTTTATTGTAATAAATGTAAACTGTGGTCTAAGCAATAAATTGATTATAAATATATACGTATCTTTCATTTCATTAAAATACTTTATCATTCCTCAGACGTGAATACAAATTTTATGTTAATTTTTATATAAAAAGCGTCATCTAACAGTGAGGGGCAAAACTACATGGTTTAGAACTGTTATATAAAGTTGATCCCGCGCTAAAAGTGTGAACCCAAAAAAGACCTTATGCGACTTATGCTCTCCTAATACAAATGTTCAAATTTACTAAAATTTTCTGTTTTCGGACGTATACGAGGTCTGATCAAGAAATAATTGAACAACCATTTGAAAATTTTGTTGTACAATTATTTTTGGACCGGACCTCGTGTAGGTCGCAAAACTGAAAATTTTAGTAAATTTGAACATTTGTATTAGGAGAGCATAAGTTGAATAAGGTCTTTTCTGGGTTCATATTTTTTTGTTGTACAATTATTTTTGGATCAGACCTCGTATAGGTCGCAAAACTGAAAATTTTAGTAAATTTGAACATTTGTATTAGGAGAGCATAAGTTGAATAAGGTCTTTTCTGCGTTCATATTTTTAGCGCGGGATCGACGTAATATTTTTCTTTATTAGTTCCTAGTTTAGCTTCTTTGGTTAAACGAACGATATAAGGGCGTTCAGGTTAATTAGGTGCTACTGATGTGCCAACAATTGCACCATTCATTCTGGTCTTGGACTGCTTTTAACATCAATTCCTTCAACATTATGCATCTAATTCCTGATGGATGAGTAACAACCCCTGGAATTTTCATTCGTCCTGAAATAGCAAATGTCCTCATTCCTGGTGGCTTTGATCTGCTTTTCACATTATTAAACTTTGGAACGTAACATTCTGCAGCTAATCAAGGTAAGAATACATTGAAATTAATTAAAAATGACTCGTTATTAATTTATTGCCAACCTATCTGTTTCAGATCAACGGTGGAAAAGACAAAGAAGATCCCGTAGTTAAAATACTTCCTTATTTTGCATGTTTTTTTATTAGAATTAGTATTTTATTTTGCATGTTTTTTATAATTATTTTATTTGAATTAATTTTTATTTTGCATGCTTATTTTAGATTATTTTATTTGAATTAATTTTTGATTGTAGATGTTGTTATTGTTTTTAGTTGTAGTCGTTATTACTGTACTAACACGTTTAGTTTTTTT